TATCGTTGGTGTTAATGAGGAAAAGAAAGGCTCCATTAGTGATATTTCTGGGAGCAAAACGGTGTTCAACAATCTGCACACTTTGTGATCGGCCGTCCATGTACGATTCGAACCAGGTCAGTAGAGTTGCCAATCCCATGGAACGCAAGTGCGACCAACAGTAGTGTGCGTGTGCGACACGCAATCAAAACCTTTTCGCTTATCCAGAAGGATGATGATGACAGTAATGCCACCGTCAACTGTCGCTGCAACAGGATCAGGGTATGGTGTAATCGGAAGGGGAAAAGGAATGTTTTTGTAGTGAACCTGTGTTGTGAACTGTTGAGTAGGTTCAGCCTTGTCAGTAATCGAGTAACACGATTCTTACCGGTTATTTATAAAGCCTCAGTGCCGGCAGAAATATGGTTTGACATGTGACCGCGTGGACCGCTTTTGCGTTTCAATATAATTATGGAATCGTTCCATTAAAGTGGGAAGCAGACAGTGTTTAATGGCACAGTAGAAATGTTCGGTATGAGAGGAGGTATGTTTTCGCCATATTGGCTTTGTAGCTGCAGGGAAAATATCATCAGGAACCGGTTGGAAAATCAGTTTGATGGATGTTATAATCATCTGCATGTCCTTCACACTTAAAGGGGGGTAACATAGTACTTCTTTCGTTTTGTTGGAAGGAGTGGATACCGATGATGCAGTAGTAAACGAGGCGGCAAGTCAGGAATTCAATGATTCACATATTTGGACTATATCATTCGTTACCGTACCGTCGTTTAAATGTAGGACTGGAAACTGATCGCGTCGTTTAGGGTTTCTTCTTTTGAGTAATCACACCAAGGCGCGGAATTTTTCTGATTTTGTGATGGCTCGGTTTTCGACGCTGACTCTAGACTGTTGAGTTCGTCGTTCAAGCATCAGTAAGGTTCCATGTATTTGAATTCACGTAACTAGAATGTCTGTACATGTGATAACCTTTGTGGAGAATTCCCTTGCGGCTACAGCCGAATCAGTTGTGGTGAATAATTGACCCCAACACAGTCATAAGCAGCTTGTCAAATACACTCCAACCAGTAAAATGTAGTTGGGGTACTGGTCATCTTATGGCTGTGGATTTTTCAGATAGTCTAACATTCATGCTGCAGAGCACAGTATTGTGGCCACATCCTGCTACTGGGTCATCTGATATGTAAGCATATGGAATGCCCATAGTGAAAACCAATTCTAAGATGCTGTCTAACCTGACAGGCTACCAAAAGAGTTGAGTCCAGCCAATGAGATGAACACATTAGATTACTTCAGCAAGTCCGTCAGTTCTTGTAGGTCTACGGGACATCTAGTTTATATGTAGCCTATTGAAATCTCCATATAAGCGCATGCACTTGTGTGAAGTGGTAGAAAAAAACTTAATAGCAGGCATAAAATTTTGTGACTCGTGTGGAGGGTGGCATCAGGTGATCTATAAGGGCAGACCATGGATCTGAATTCTCAACCGTAATGAATCCCTGAAAGTTAACTGGCCAGCTGAGACTGACAGTATGCCATGGTGCATGTGGATGGGGCAGCCATCACCGTGTTTGCACAGACAATCCCTCCGCAACAATCGTTAACCCAGAACATTCAACTAAAAGTCACGTAAAGCTGATATGCAATGTGTGTCACTGATGTAAACAAAGTGAGAAGTTTTAAGGAACACAAACGCTGTAAAAAGATCCAGCTTGGGAATTGAAGGGAGTGAATCTTTATAATGGTGAAGTTAAATGAAAATGTGGTAGGATAAGCAAATTTGGTTACATGACACTCCAGCATCATGGAGGTGTGCGGTGTGGCATAATAAAGCAACTGGGATCTGTTTTGTATTGCGCCGTACTGGTTCTAGCGAAGGAACAAATGCATTCATATTCGTCGTATGTAGTGACCCCATTGGTGGGGAGCAGATACTAGCCTAATAAGTATGCCTTAGCAACGAATGAGGAGATTGTTCTGTTGCAGGAAATGGCGGTGGTGGGTAGGCTAGAAATTGAGCCTACCATTGGAGATAGTGTGTGTGTGTGTATGTCTCTATACGTTTCTCTAGGTTTATCGTAAGATGCAACATTATTCAAAGCAGGGTGTTGCCACCTTTCAGTCGAGGAGGAAGGTAACAGGATGATTTGTAACCGTGTATAGTAGGTCGGTTTGTCAGTATTGACCGCAGAATCAGTTCTTGTCATATACAGAAGTACGAAAGCGACTTAATAGGCGTTCTTCATACAATGGTGGTTGTTTGGATGTTAACTGTTGGGCATACCCATGGGGTACTCTAAGAATGCGGCGCTCTAGGATGTCAGTAATTTCCTGTTGGGACCAGGGGTGGTTGGGGTGATATTCCAACACTGTTAACTTCCCACACCTTACACCCAGGTTTTTACTTCGCGCCACATGTTTTACGGGCTTGTGGTTTGTGAGAGGCATATATAAGGTTGTAGTATCTTCTGCTGGGGTTGTAACAGTGATTACGTTGTTGCAGACTAAGGCAGTATTATCTTACAACGATACCTCATGGGTGGGTCAGTGGCGAGTATCATTGGAGAAGGACGGTGGCAATGATATGGTATATGTAGAAATTCGTCACACCTAAACTCACGATGGTCGTTGCCGTCCCCCGTAGCTCAGTGGTCTCAACCACGTACTGGCAACAGTCGAGTTTCGGGTTCGAGCCCTACCAGGGTCCGATGGAATGCGCACTGCTGAGGATTCCCGAAAGGATGAAACGCGCGTACAGTGCTTTTCCGGGCGTGTGATGGCTGTCTGAGTGAGTCTAGATGTGACGAATTTCTACTTATACCATTCAAGTCCCTCTACTAGTCCTCTGTAATCAGTACGCATACCAAACTGATTATAATGCCATGGGTTAATTGGCGGCTTAAGTTTGGTAAGCTCGTCGCTTGGTGAGGAGTCTATCCTGTCCTCCGCACGGTGGTAACATCCAAAGCAGTGGATAGTAAGCGGCGCTATATCACATCTAGTAACGTATTCATAATGGTCGTTGCCGTCCTCCGTAGCTCAGTGGTCTCAACCACTGAGCGGCAACAGTTGAGTTGAGGGTTCGAGCCCTTCCAGGGTCGGATGGAATGCGCACTGCTGACGATTCCCGAAAGGATGAAATGCGCGTACAGTGTTTTTGCGGGCGTGTGACGGTAGTCTGAGTGAGTCTAGATGTGACAAATTTCTATCTAGCCCATTCTACTCCTCCACAATCATATTACTCGACAAATCTAAGCCCCTGTAGTGATCATGGATGAAATGGAGATCGCCATGTGTAGTGTATCTAGTTTCATATCCTAGGAGCTTTAACCTAGTTCACAAGGACAGGAATTGACTGTATCTTGCACCAAAACGAAGCAGTTCGGTTTTCAGTGACCGAACCCCTTCTCCAATAATGCGGTTTGTCATTTCAGATAGAAAACCAAATCTATTACTAGAGCAGACTGTTATTGTTTCTTGTTTCCTCATCATCTTGGCTGAACCATTTATCATTCTGATGGCATTATCGCTGCAGAATGCGACTGTTTCTTGCCTTTTTTGTCTTACGTAGGAGATTTCGCGTGTAAGTGGTTAGTAGGCATTTCAGTATGTACTGCAAACCGCATCGAGATAGGACTCCATTTGGTGGTAATGAGGTCGTTCAAATATTGTGGCCACACGTCCTCCAGCTTAAAGGTGGGCGCAAGCAAACCATAATCCACCGCTCTGATCAATTCACCTGTAGTAGCGATCCCAGATGTTAGGTCCCAGTTCTCAGTTTCCGAGTCATAACCATACCCGTCAAAATCGCAATTGTTTATCAAGTTTGTGATCCAAGCTTACATTCACATCTACTTGGCCTGTAATGGTTTATTCCCACAATGACCTATACCCATCAGCACAAGAGTTGGATACACTATAAGCGAGCAGGAATGGGACGAGTATGACTAATTGTTGATACATTTTATCTCATACCTACCGCTTACATAACGGCAACGTAGGCAAGTGTGTATAAAGAAGCGTACAGACAGCTGGATAACTGACCAGCAGATCACGTTCCGCATTCCTCAGCTCACCCGGATATCGTGTCTAACCGTCTGCCGAAACTGATCGGGACCAAGAGCATTATTAAAATGCAGTAATATTACAAAAGTAACAATGCATGGTGCCTGTCATCTGTCATCTGCATGGCAGGTGCCTGCATGGCAGTGGAGGATGCGTCGGGCTATATCGCATTTAGCTAACAATTCACGATAGTCAGATACCGTCCTCCATGGCGCAGTTGCATAAGCTGCGAGCTAGTTGGCAAGAGCCACTAGCAGTCATGGGTTCGGTCCTCCGCAGAGGACCGAAGGATGCGCACCACTGATGAGCCCCAATAGGGCGAAACGGCCGTCTGGTGCTTTTCCGGACAGCTGGTCGACATATCTGAATTGTCGGCTGATTGCGACGAACAAAAAAATGCCTGATTCTGTATTTGATCCGAAACTAGGTAACCCTAAGAGTAAAGCAGGTATAATAAATCGATTTATGAGTAGGAGAGTAGTCACGATAGCGGCACAAAGCACCGATAGGAATGCCACAGGGAAAATTGTGGTTTTACAGGTTGCTAGACACAAACTCAATGAAAACTCCAGGGCACCAAAACTTACCGAGACAGCGGCTATTATGTGACCAAGTTCAGCTGTAGGCATCGTAAGCGGTCAACCATCCCTCTCAGGTCCTCATGCGGTGCGTGACACTCGTCTTTAAGTTGCGGATCAGGTGTTGGCTATGCATATATATATATATATATATATATATATATATTTCAACTGGTGACTACAAATTACTGGCTTGATCAGACAAGCTCTGAATGTGTTGGTTTTCCTCAAGTGAACAAATATTACGAAGTGGCATCACTTTGAAGCAGCCATTGATGCAGTTAACAAAGTGCTTTATATGAAGATCGAGGATATAATAAGAATAATATTGTCATCAAGCATCAGAATCGGGTTACCTACCTGGAGCCCTTGTGGAAATGCGGACGGAGAGTATCTCTCAATGAAACAGAGGGGGATTGGGATCACTCGGAGGTGAACTGGAGTCCGTGGCTCCGGATAGGCCCACGTCAAACCGACCCATTGACTCTCCGACTCCTCATCAGCCACATCGATAGCGCATGGGCGCAAGTCCGTAGAGACTTGGAACTCGCCACGGAGATTGTCGCAAAATACCAGTTGACCTACTTTGGGCCAAGGGTGTGCGAACAGAGGGGCCTGAGACAGATTGGAGTGGTTTGGCTCCCATGGCCAGCATGCGTCCAAATGTAAAGAAATTGGTGTCGGACGAACACTGTCCAATGCGTGAAGACTGGTAAGTTCCCAGGCAGAGAGACCGAGAAGAGACTGACGTAAATCATCCCTGTGCATGATTGGCTGAAGTCCCGCACACTGGAAGCAAAATTCGCTGTGAACAGGTTGTTTCAATGGGACCGAAAGGAGCGCATTATTGGAGTAAGACAGGATAATATGTATAAGTGTATCGAGGGTCGGACCGTAAAGTGGAACATCCGTTTGACAACCGGCGGCCAATAGGACTACTATCTCCAGATCTGTCAAATATTTCGGGGCGGTAAGAGAGGACAGCTGGTGGAAACATGGTGCAACACGTGCAGCACCGATGCAGGTCAGTGACGTGTGCGGCCACAGTAATGAGATGGACCGGCTTGAAAGTAGGGTAGAGGAATCTGCTGTGGAAATTGGATGGTAAGACACACAACCAAGATGAACGCTTGATGTGGTCAAACGCCACTTGATACTGTTCGCCAGTGTCCCGAGATTGGTCACAGCAAGTGTGTCGCAGGTCAGTTGCCGCAATGTCAACTGGAGTTCACCCCCACGATCGGAGCGAGGAGACGCAGACAGTATACGCAACTGGGAAAAAGCAAGAGGATAGAATAAGCATGCTAAGTGAATAGGAATTTGAAAATAAAACATGCTAGTATAGTCGGACGGAGCTAAGCGAACGTAGGGATTCGAGGAAAGCTGTGATGGTCACAGATAACAATCACTAATTCAACAAAAAGCTATCTGGATACCCACCTAACTACCCCATTAGTGATGTAAAAGTGCAAAAACTATCATCTACGGAATTGCGCTTCCCGGTGCTTCTCGGGAATCTTAAAACATGAAAGGTAATTTGTAATTCTATATAGGGATATCATAATTGTTTTCTGATATTTTAGGTGGAATATTAAATCAATTACTTTCACAAAAGCGTTCGCTTCTAATTAGCGTGTCTATTACTATCCAAGCCTCGCCTCTGTGCGTTACGGCTGTTATATGTGGATCACAGTCAAACGTATCTTATCCACGGGAATGTATGTGATAGACACAGTGCCGAGGTCCAAGCCATAGCATCGAAATGTGGACTATCATAATTGGTATGGTCACTCTGTTCTAGCATAGGGATGTGCTCTAGTTAACTGGTATATCGCCCATGAAAACCAATACATTGTCGTACACCTTAACACACAAAAATGTTGCCATGACTGTCAGGTAGCATTCTGACGGTGATTTGCAACGCTTCAATAATCATGGCTTTATGGAAAACCTTGATGTCTATCCCAAGCGTCAGATCTAAGAGGTCAGTGATAGAAGAACCATCGGTGAGTCATTTGGTTGGATCGTTACTGTGTCTCACGGGACATTTTAAGTAGCAGTCTGGTGGGAACCGCGTTTGTTTTAACCGGGGTAAAAATTTCGTGCACATATATAGTGAAGGTGTTTTTGGAGTGCCCATTGTGAATTGGATTGCGATAAGCAATCTTAACTTGGGCTTCTAGCTACTTTGAAGCGAAGAACATCGAGCCATTTACATCAATTGGGTTACAAATACAGCTGTCTGATTTTGCCCCCACCCTCTCTTTCTCCAAACAATCATGTCTACGGTATGCTGCGTACCAGCCCGCAATCTCCAACCAGAATGCAGGAGTAGCCGATGGACGCCTTCACACTAGCCCAAGCCGGAACCGGTCGTGGGTGCAGGACAAATAGCGGACGACATTTAACATTAACGCAACGCAATGTGTTTTGAGCAACCTAAGATGCCTCTTCGCACCATATTTGCTTCCAAAATGTCCACGGATGATTGGAATTTCGCCGTTGGATTCACACATTTCAGCCAAGCATAGTGATATGACTAGAATGTGTTTCATTCTTTGATCAATGACAAATTTCGGCTTGGTGTGAACGGATTTGCGAACCGAACAATCGGTCTTTTGCAAACGGAGGTAGCTGCGCTGGCCGTCTGCCTGACAATAGATCACTTTCTTTATCGTCAACCCGTGACCAGAAGGATTGCACGCTTACGTTGTAATCCTGAGGTCACCGGTTCGAATCCGTGTGTAGATGCGGATGACCTCGCGATGTACCCAGCCCACGCCCGACTGGTGGTGGTCGCGCGAGGCAGCAAAGCGTCGGTACGGTGGGTTAGCGTACTGCTGATGCCTTTGTTTCTTTCTGTTTCGTCGCTCCTTTATCGTCTTCAGCGATCACAAACCACAGTAGAGGATGAGTAGAACAAAACGGCAGATAGTCTACTGCCGTCGTATATGGCCTAGTGACGGTTGTCTTCCAAACAGACGGGTAGCCGGTTCGACTTCCCTAGGGGAATACGCTATAATGACGAGTTTCTAGAAGAGAAAGCGGAAGTTCAGCGCGCTTATCCGTATGCAGATGGCGCAACGAGCTGCTAGGCGTATTTGCATCTCTTCGCTGTGGACACCGGCACTGCCCGACACGACCAATACAACTTAACCAGCGATTGAGATCCTCCCATTAAAGATGCCAATCGGTTCCAAAGTAGCGGATGGTACTGTCTATGTTCCAGCATACATGATAGATATCAACTTGTGGTACCGAAAGTAACACCGGTTCGTTAAGGTGGCTGTGTCTTTGCGGCGCGTGGAGAAAGAGCGGCAGTTCCACAGCCGTTGGTGTTGATGCATCGGATATTGAGCGGATAAGACTCAGACGACGAAGTATCAAGAGATAAACAGATGATATGTAGTTTAGCGAAAAAGAGCGAAAAGAGACAACAATGACTTACATCGAGACCGTCAATTTGTACAGCTAGGCGAAACAGGACCGATGTTGCTGAAGGTGAGTGTTCCACGTCGATGTGGTCGGTAGAATACGACATCGGCAGTTCGTGGGTATCGGAGCTGACTGCTTTGGTTAGCGTCACCATTGCCCCCAATGTTTCCGGCTGCACGACAGCGTGTGCTACGTTCCCGACAGAAATGGTAATGTCGATAACCTTACCATGGGCCACAAAGTCAGGCCGAGCCGCATTCTACAGAGGAGAGTGAGATAGCTTGCAGAAATGGCATGGCGCACGACAAACTGTGGCCGAAGGCGTAAAGAGGAGAAATTTCTTACCGAAGCGACTGCTGGCTCAAGGGCGCAATCCCCATCGCCGACGTGGTCGACTGTCACACACACAGTAAGAAACGGCGTGGCAGAGCCAGTTCCTGTGTCGCATTTCTCACGCGCGGAACCGATGAAGGTTACAGTCTCCATCTGAGGTGGAGAAAAGCGAGCGATAACCCGATCGGTTGGGAAAGGTGGCAGTATTAAGACCACTGAGTCGTGAGGTTCTTTGGGCGTAATGGGAGAGAACTGAGACCACCCAATGAATTGTGATTGAGATGGTGGCATATGCGACCCTGAGAAGCGGAGATCCATCTAGTTCGAGAGGTGAAAAATAGAAACATGGGAAAAGTGTAAGATGTTCAAATCGCACGGCAAATGGATTAAAAATAGGAACTTTGCTAAAACGCTGCTAGTATTCGGAGCACAGATACGTATGTCACAAAGGATGTGGGACAAACGGATTAAAAAAGACGCGGTGCGGGAATCGCCGTGTGTTGCAAGTGAGCAAGTACATGGGACCATTATACACCCCACTCGATTAAGTGAGAGTATACACTCATCTTATCAGAGAAAGAGATACAGCGTATATCGGGCCGATAGCAACACGCTAGCGACAGCTATGGTGATGAAGAAGACGGGTAAACTAAAAACAAGTTCATAGTTTAGGGGAAATAATGAGAAAAACACGGGCTATGGATTTGAACCAGCATACAAGAATTGTGAAATAAGCTGACGCAAAGTGTTGCATGCGTTGACATGTGTTTCACACCTGCAAAGTCAGTATCGTCATAGGAAGATTAGAAACCTAGTGTAGTCTCTGCCATGGCTTAGTGAATCTAGTCACAGGGGCGTAGGTTCGAACCTCACGGAGTTCAGGGGAATGTGCATCCAATGAATTACGTGCGATGCTGGTCTTTAACAAGGCAAATATCCTCACTGCAGTAATATGAGTCAAGATCAGGAATCACTCCGGAGTAGTGTATTCCTCTCGGTAAACTCTCATAGACCCAAACGTTTACATAGCACTGATTGTGTGGAAAGTGTCAGATCGGATTGGGATTGACTTCTAGGCGGTTAGAACGATCAAAATAGATAACTTGAAACAGGAATAGAGATAGCAAGCCAAGTGAACTAAATAAACATGCATACACAAACCCCAGTAGTCCGAAGTAAATGGGCAACAAGCAAAGAATTAAGTAGCAGCGTCAATTGGCCACGGTAGTCGTAATAGTATCGGCCGTATGATTCGTTTTTGTACACATAATTCCGGCTTCAAATGGTAGATGTAGATAGCCACGAAGATGGATAAGATGTGTTAGCGGAATCCTTGGGAGAAGTGCTCAGGTAGTGCGAAGATAAGTTTGCAGTCATTCTCGGAAGTTGTATGGCCACATCCAAGGAAGTGTGATATCAGTGAGCTGCGTGGGGATCTTATTTCGCCTTTGTAAAACGATGCCGGGATGAGCTCACGAATCCTATGAGATAGGCGCCTCGTAGTGCGACCCACGTATCGTGCACCACAGGAGCAAGAGTACCGATAAACGATCCCTGAAAGGATCAAAGACGGCAGTCTATCTCGCAAGGGCTTTGTAAGCAATGACTTGTTGGAATAAAGAATTCGCTGGCGAACCATTAAATAAGTTTTCTCAACAGCATCTTTCAGGCGCCGGGATAACATATCAGCTGCAGAATCACCTCTAAATAGTATATGTAGGAAAACCCTTTCTCAAGAGCAATGCTTCTAGGTAGCTTCCGATTGCGTTCCTTCAAAGGTTTCATGATAAATTTATCAGGATAGCCATTTTCCCTGAGGGCGTCGCTGATTCTCTGTAGTTCTTTGTTGACGGTATTCGGTATACAAATGCTGTGCGCCCGGAAGGCGAGACATCCGATTAAATTCTTATACTACAGAGTGACTGCGCTGTGGAAGTTAGTGTACTGTCAAGTGAACTAAATAAACATGCACACACAAACTCCAGTAGTCCGAAATAAATAGGTAGCAACCAAATAATTAAGTAACAGTGTCAATTAGCCACGGTAGTATTAGTATCTGCCGTGTGATGATGGATGTAGATAGCCTCGACGATGGATAAGAGCTGTTTGCGCATTACCCATGAGTCTTAAAGGGACGACTACGGTGAAGTCAGAAAGGGTTCAGTGGGTCCGGCGGTTTCAATGAACCGCCTCACCACAAGAACAATAAACGAAGAATCTTACTGTGTAAAGTGTTTCCGAACACTGGTAGCTCGGATTGATGATTCAGTTGCTTATTTGTTCGCCGAACTTGGAAATAGGTTTGAATACGTTTCGCCACAATGAGTAGAGGCATTGTTGCTGCGCTGATATGTAGAGTGTAATCATGCTGATTGAATCGTCGATCCGTGATCGACGTGCAGGTGACTTTGGAAAGTGACGGCTTTTGATATGTGCCCCGTGATCTCTATCCATTTACCCCGCGGCTGAAGTCGCCGCTCGGGTTGTTCTTATTCAAGTTATGTTTTGGAAGTCCCCCAATTTCTTTCTGTCGGAGTGGCTGAAAGAATCGCACTGATTCGTCCCAACGGTTCACAAGTAGGGTACTCTAACCAGCTACCCGAAAAAGCACAAGACAGTGGTTACATTATATTGTGGCATGTCAGTGGTGAGCAGTCCCACAGTCCACTTCAATTAAACGAACATATGACCGGTATTTGCTTCTGCGAACTAGGCAGCGACTTATACCACCAGGTTAAGTTATGACGATCTACTATGATCCTTCATGGCTACAAGTTATCAACTGCTGGCCAGTTTACGCAAGAAAAATGTAAAAACACCAAGGAAAACCTATTAGTTTAGCAATTAGTCGATTATCTTCGATTGTGCATTGATTTCAAAGATTCCGGAACCGTCCATTGCTTCAGGTGATTGCCAGCTAATTTTATCAGTTGAGCTTTGTTTTCTGGAAGCCGAAAGTCATTGATTCATCTGTATATTTGGCGCAGGTTTGGAGTAGTTGTACGGCATTTTGGCGGCGTTTTTGTTAACACATTTTTCGCGGTCAAGTTGGGTAGACTTCTGGTTTTTTTCAGATGAGCTACAACTCTTGTGGAGAATTTTTGGGTGTTTAATTCGGAATAGCAAGAAAACGTGAAGGTCTAACACTTATGCCACTAGGTCAAGTTACGACGATCTACTATGGTCCCCCATGCCTACAAGTTATCAGCTGCCGACCAGTTGACGCAAGCGAATAGCGGCCATGTGTTCGTTTAACTGAAGGGGATCGAGGGACTGCGCCACAGTGAGGAAGCAGAATAGGGTGAGACAACCGTCTGGTGCCTTCTCGGATAGCTTATCAAAATATCTGGTTTGTGAGCTGCTGCAAAGAAATAGTAAAATTCCATCGAATATCTTCTTTCTTATTAGTAGACAAAGAATTATACAAAGGTGGGGTGAAATGCACATACAATCAATGGAAAGGGTTTTGGAGAAATATGGTAGATAAAAGTAACCGAATCGGAAACGTGACAACCGAGTGCAAGAAGCCATCATTCATCATTATACACATCAGCTAGAGGTGGGAAAACACCTCTGCTATTGTGCCGCAATACATGAAAGAAATACATACATACATATAATACAGTACACAAAGGAAAAATAGATACAACAGTTGCATGCCAGCTGAGCTACCAGCAACGGATAGGCATCGTTCCGGTAAGCTTCCAGCCAGCTACTGGGCAAAAAGAAGAAAAAATATTATGTTCTACCCTAGGAAATGAGATCGTAGATGGAGGGGGAGGCTAAAGGGATGGGGAGGGACAAAGAAATTCACAGCACGAACGCCACTGAGGTCTGCTCCTTGCCATGTCAGCAAGTGTATCCAGCCAAACGTGTTCACCGTCTTTTGGACCCCAACCAGGGAGCCGCGAAGCTCCAACCGAGGCTAGCCCCGAAGTGATGGACTTCATTCCTAAGTCATTCATTCCTAAGTCATTCCTAAGTCATCGCTTGGCCACCTCTCCTCTTCTTCCACCCACATCCCCGGTGAGCAAACAACGCACGTCGAGGGAGTCGGTGGGCTGGCATGCGTAACACGTGGCCGAGCCATCGGAGCCTGGTGCGAGAAATAACGGTGCTGAGCGGTTCAGATCTTTTTCCTGGGTCGTAAACAATGCGTCGAACACGCTCGTTACTCACACGGTGTTCCCACCAGATGTGAGCCTAACTGCAAAGGCACCGATGGTCGAACGTAACTAGCCTCTTCATGTCCGCCGACCTTAGGGGCCACGTTTCGCAACCGTACAGTAAGGTCGAACGTACCGTTGCATTGTATACTCTACCCTTCAGGGCGAGAGTAGTGTCGCGCCGCCGCCATAGGTGGCGAAGGTTAGCAAAAGCACTTCGAGCTTTCGCTATAAGGTTCGTGATCTCGTCTTTGATCCCAATGGCGCTGATACAACTTCCCAGGTAATTGAATTTCTGAACGACTTCTAGCTGATCCTAACCAAGGGTCAGCGCAGGAGGCGATCCCTGCCAATCTTGGAGGAACGCTTTGCACTTCGATGGTGCAAAGCAAAGCCCGAAGCGGCTGACAGCCAGTGCTAATCTGTCCAGCACGGCTTGGCACGTCTGGGAGCTGTCACAGATGAGGGCAATGTCCTCTGCATACTCCAAGTCAAGAAGTCGTTCTCCTGGGAGTAGGGTGCAAGAAGCCAAAAGTAGGCAATTAAATCTTGACTCACATCCCAGTGAAGTAACGGAACATCTTCTTCCAAGCAACAATCGGTGGACCCTAGTATCGGCTAGCTAGGATGTTTATTAGCAGAACACTGTTAACAAATAATACACGTCGAGGCAGTTGGCTGGTGAGTAGTCGACTTGAATTCAGCAGACACTCCGGTGCGGCATCAACCGATGGACTACAGCAATACTGATTCGGTGCTGCCACCGAATTTGGCGAGCACTGAGACGGTCAGTCCGACTGTGTTCTCTGGGTATAGTGGCCAAGCCGTTGACCCACTAGTTAGCAGCGTTACACTATGAAACACTGCAAATGAACAATAAGCAACATCACATGGCTTCGGTACGTTTAGTGAGAGCTAGTCTGCTTGACAGTATAACTGTCGTGGGAGAAGGGACAGTTATTCGTGCGTTCCTGTGTGGCGGTGACCCCCTGGAGCAAAGTGCAGAGAATTTACGTGAAAATTCTACAGACTCGATGGACTGTGCCCCGTAGGGTTGAGGAATAAGCCGTTTATTTATTTATTTATGAGTTTTTGACCATAAACTGGTTACGAGAGAACTAAAAAACCTAATTTGAGGAAGTGAGTTGCTAACCTGGGTGTTACGGATGGAAGCTTCGATCGCAAGATGGTTGGGGGCTGGTAAGCGAACTGCAAGATGAGCCTGGTTGAGGTCAATAACCATCTGAGCGAAAGAGTTGAGGGCATATTCATCAGGCATAGCATCCGACCAACATGTTAACCGGATGTGCAGAAGGTCAATCACCAGTCTTTGTGGGAAAAAGCGGGAAAGAAAAGACGTCTGGGTTTTCAAACGGCCAAAGTCGCCATGGGATTCCGCTCGTCCACTATTCGTAATATTGGAGACGAGAACGGTTTGCAATGCCTTGACGACCGTGTTGTCTGCAAAAAGAACCAGTGGATCCGAGATGAGCAATTCTAGTGACGAGCCGGACCCAGAACCCTAAAGAGGAACCAAGACAGCAGCGAAAGTTGATAACGAAAAGAAAACATAAGGTGGGATCAGGCAAAAATGGAGAAGAAAGAACCAACGCATGTGACTCACTGAAGATAAATCCATAGCGGGGAAAGTTGGGGCCCAAGAAAATGTGAGACTGAAGGACTGAATCAAAAGCCATCCGGGAGCGGGATGTGGGTGACATTTCCTGTTGGAAAAAATGCATGCGTTTAGAAAGCAACGGCGAAAGTGCGGTGTTCTGGAGAGACAGAGCAAGCGAGAAAAAGTGAGTCACTTTGTGGCGCTTCAAAAAAGTCAGGCTGTGGTGGACTGAGGTCTAGCGAAATGGTCGGTGTGGACTCAAACGGTAAAAGAACTATCAAGCTTAATGTGGGGTTGTTTTGAAACACTTGTTGTGTGAATGGGTTGCGACGCGTGATCTCAAGCAGGACCTCGATTCACTTGGAAGTTTACCTTGGACAACACGGTCACTGTGATTGCGCGAGGCAACCTATTCACACAATTTGTTTCAAAATGACACCACTTAGAACTAACCATTGTGATAAGTGTTGCTCGCCGCGACTCGGTGGTCTAGGCGTAGAAGCATTCAATTACATCCCAAAGAACACGGATTCGAGTTGCAGCGTTGACATCTTTACCTGAAGAGTGGAAATGAGGAAAAAACCAGTCGCGGGGTGCAGTATTTCAAGCTGGGGAACACCTAACACTCATTATCTATCATGATACAGCAATCCAAAAAAATCCAAGTTAATGGCAGACGTCTAAATCCGAAAATCTATACCATTTCCCAGACACTTCAGATTATAGAGCGTTCGACTTCAGCCGTAAGGATTTCGACTTCATCTAATACTCTTGCAAATTCTCCCGTCCATGCCTCAGTGATTGCTTTTACGCTCGCTGTTGCGTAGCTGTCTCATTGGATATGCGCCGTCAGCCAATAGGAGGTCGGATTTAGGTATAGAGGGAAATCTAATCACGGAGGGGGCGAAGGAGTGCGGACCGTAAATGCTCGAGAGCAATTCATCCCCACAGCGATGATGGATGGCAGGACGCGGGCGAGTCTACTGAAGCGCTGGATCAGCAGATGCGTAGTAGGATGCAGTTGAGACACTGTAGGACAAGGGGACGAAGCATGGCCCAAGTTATCCCTTTAACAATTCCTGTTGGCACAAAGAGCTGATATTTGTTCCGCATTCCATCACAACCGGTAGCCAGTGTCATTGCACATAAAGTTACCAGGTGCTTACAGTGTCGCAGCAACTAATCTTGCCGCCCGGGACGGAGGCAAAATTGTCGCCCCATCTAGCGGTTTTAACTCCGCAAACCCTCATAATTTCAGGCAGCTCTTTGTTTCATAATAACAACAAGCAAAGATCCAATTATACAGTGCTGCCGTAAATGCAGGAATTTTTATTGTTACAGTACTCGTGAACAAGATTTACAGATACACTTTTCGCGCATTACTTAAAGCATTGGCAGTGATAGCACTCTCCATCGTCAATTTTGATCTCTATGTTGAGAACGGCGGCTTCGTGAGTCTTGTATGTTTCAATGACGATTGAAGTTTGTTCGTTATGAGCTTATGGACAAGAGCGCTTCCACTGAATCAGAAAAAAGGCGAACATGAAGTATACACCTAAGTATTTATAGCACTGTGTTGCCGGGCTAACGAGAGTAAAAAGGCATGTACAAAGGTGAACATCAATTAATGGGAGTTGTCACCCAGCAACGACGTTACCGAGGGAATCACGGGCTGATTGCGGCAGGTTAATTGTCGCCTGATAAGGTAAGTGACGTAATAGAAGTAGCTAACGGTCACACCGAGGGAACATCGGTGTAATTGTCACCTGCGAGAGTTGCCGTGCTGAACCGGTGGAACGGGATCAGCGAGAGGGAAACGGCTCGGTGTGGAACTACTGTGGACCCATGAGTGTTCCACAGCAATCACGGTTAACAAAACTGAACCTCTGGAGATACATATGCAGCTATATTGAAATTTTATTCCTAGGTATTTTTCCTTCGTATATGAGTAAAACTACACCAAGTACATATAGCATGAGCTGTAGTACTCTAGACTATTATACACCAGTGTGTGCCAATCGTCTAATTCCAATCGATGGCTTCAATTGCATTAACCCGTTTCACATTCCTTCCGCTTCCATGAGCCTGACTCCTCCATGTGGTATCTCTAACCTGCACCGGAATCAAAAACTGAGATGCTCGTGCTCTGATAAGAAAAGTCAGCGAAAATTCCGAAAAATCTTCCCAAACTTACCTAGTGCATTCCTGTATAACCTCAACCATGGACAACCCTGCATGCGTGAGCATGTTGCACACGGAAAACGATCCGTCCCTTTGTGAGAGCGGTTACTCGATAGCACGAGAAATATACATGAGTATCAGTATTATAGTCTCCGCAATAGTCATCAAGTGGTTTAGAAAAGTCTTTCTTATCGCATTATATAACTACAATAGTGTTATCCAATTATCGCTACCAAATTTTAGGTGAGCTACTCGAGTCAGTCAGCGCCCTGCTTCCAGTCTTCCATGTACAAATTCGTCAATACGAAGGATATTGGCGATTCCAGGGAAGTTCCTGTTACTGGGTGTACCATTTACATTGGAACGCGAAATAAGACACGTAAGGCAAAGGTCATTCTTTTCGTTATTTGATCTACCATGACCTTAATCCTCTCACCCAGTTTTGTTCCCATTTAGATGGTGTTTCGTTATCTACAAAGCGTTGAATATTGACACGTTGGTGAAGAGCGAGCTAAGATCGAAACTAAGCATCGTTTCATCGGAGTCCATCTTAAGACCAGGCACCATTCGCAGGAAGTCATAAGAGCTCTTTACGAACGTATTCGTTTGCGCTGTCAACGGTTGCAATACGCTAGCCAAATATCTAGCTAGTTCATGCATTGGGAACCTATGCCATTTACAATAGGTCGAATGGGTACATTAGGCTTATGTATCTTCGATAAACCATACACTTGATGGAAGGGTTGATTTCGGTCTTAGATACTCCATTACAATCCTTAAATAATTAGCAACCTCTGTCTTACTCATTACTGAAGTGGCAGTCCTAGTGCCAATAACCTTATACGGTTCCGTCACTAGGTGCCCCTCCATTTTTCTAAATAAACCGATTTGTTGATTTTCATTGTGATGTTGCCTTTAACGGCTTTTGTGGTATCAATACTCCGACCATTTTTAGGGCAGTTAATGTGACACGTTCCACTAGTGCAAGATTCATCTCTCCCGGCTGCTGAAATGTGATAATGTTTACAAGTTATGCGTGAATATTGCTCAACCGTTGATGCGGTAACTTCCTTAAAGTGGACTCAACATAAAGGATAACTTTTTTGATGTAAAATGTCAAACCTCATATTTCTGAGATCATGAGTCTTCGATTGGTCCCAAACATTTTTCAAGATGTTGAGTCTACATCATCTTCTATACAAGTTGATGAAGGGAACTTGGAACAGTGTACTCAGGTTTATGTTTGATCTGCAATCTGTACATGGTGGTACGACAGTATATTATACCATTGTACATTTCTTGTTCTATTGTTGTACTATTACTATGATCATGCCTTTAATGGCGTGCCTCGGGTAGCCGAGAAGAAAAATTTATTTATTTGTTTATTTATAACAGTTGTCGAGCTAATCTTCATGGGATACCCGTCACATAATACTGCCAGACATGAAGATAAGGAGAAACCACATTACCGACGATGAGATGCAATTTCGCAACATTCCACTAAGCTCCTGGAGACGAAGTACTCGCCGGCGCCCAAGCGCATGGTTAAAGTTGTGTGTTATGTTACGTGTTTGTTGCGAGCATAGCTTCCTGTATGCTGGGAAAATAAACTTAGTAATATTAAGTTTATTATTGTGTAGGCAGTTTAAGAGGAAAACGGAAAATCAGGCGAAGCATAGAAGTCTCTCTGTATAGTGACGGAGACAGTGCGTTGGAACCCTTAAGCGTTTATGCTGCGCATGCTATCGGTCGAACACGACAAGTATTCCGATGGAAATTTACAAACCATCGAGCCAGTGACAGAGAACAGTGTCAAACTAAACACAGTCACGTAATATCTAACATCAACAAGCTATGCTGCTCCATCCGACGAAAACGCTCGTCGAGGTTGCGGTAAATTATTTACCCCAGAGGAGGTTCATACAGCGTAGTGAATTCTGTGTATTCACGCATTATTCCTGCGTACAGGTCAAGCAACTGGACATTGACAGGAGAGGATGAGCCACGGTGGAATACTTAGCTTATCAGTCAATGGATTTATCATGGATAAAATAGCAAATGCCCAACAATTTCCGCAGATAGAGTGAGAGCAAGAAGTGAACGTATAAGGAAAACGTGACGCTTAACGGTGCGCTCAACGCAATTTTTCACATGCACACACAGCAATGGCAATCTGTCGAAGGCATAAGCCACTAGCGCTGGGTTCCTGCTGGGGACTAGAAATGAGTACTACTGACGAGCTGTTTATCTGCTAGTTTCGATTCCTATGTAATCAAAAGGCGCCGTTCCGGTCCAGTCGACAAGTGCATGTCCATTAAAACGGGCAACGTCAGTTCATCAGCCTTGATTTGAAGCGCTCGATCCTCCCTAAGACAGACATGCCTCAATGTGCACACTTGGTTGCAAATTGGCCAACAGGTAGTACTTGCCCGAACACTGCAGGCATATCAATCGAAAACCGCTGCTTAAGAGAAACTCGCCTGCAGGATTCGAGTTCAGTAATCACCCTATGATTCCAACCTTGCGACATTGGTGGTATTTTCTCCTTGCGATTGTCCGGAGATAAAACAGGTTCAAATGCCGGCCGAACAGGTGTGGGCGTTACTCTTAATCCCCAGACTGAATTTGCCCTGATTACTTGGATCCCAATGAATAGCCGGATGTGCGCTGTCAGATTGGCTGGCTTGTTCAGAGCCTCCAAGTCGCGTGGGGACAAACGGTACTTGTTTGTCCTTGTGGCCTAAATGCCCACAAATTGTAGCGCTGAATCGGTGAAAGATGAACTCCATCAACAATTGAACATGCTCCTCCGTTTCAGAAAAAGTACGGATACTGTGATGCTGGCTGATGATTTGAACGCCGAAGTCGGATAATTGTCCACTAATAGGCTGCATCTGGGCGGCCAACACGGTGTAGGTGAGCGGTTGTTACACCTGTGTGAAGATGTTTGTCCCTTTCTCGCGAGCCCTAACTTCCGACACAGCATCCCAAGAAGGGCGACATGGCGCCTACCAGTCTCGGAGCAGCCGTAGAGGCAAATCGATCACATCGCGATCAGTTACCGATTGAGAGGCTGTGTTCATAACTCGCTCGATTTGGAGCACGAGCGTAGACTCTGACCACGCAATTATTTGCGCCGACCTTCGGGCGCGTTTCGGCGGACGTCCGCAACGCTGAGGTGAGCGTATAGATACTTGCCAACTGACGAAGTTTGATGTTCTGAATGCGTACAAAGTACGCTGGCATCCGAGTCGAGTAAGAGCATATCCGCCAAACGTTATTAGCAGCCGGCATGTCTTCATGTGGCAAATTAAATAAACAAACTGGACACTATGTCGATACGCAGTCTCTGGAACCTATAGATACTCGCCGATGGATTGCGACTGGAAGCGAATACAATGAGGCTCGCTAAAATCTCAGGGTGAAATCGAGTGTTAGCTTAAAGAGAGACAGCGAAGAGTGGTGGTCTCGTCGTGCATCAGAGATGGAGACAGCCGTTGCCATTGGTAACCATTGGAAGTTATTTAGTCGAATAGGAGAAACGGGCAGCAGGAGTCATGGTATTAGCGGGCCTATATGCGACGAGAGTGAGCAGCCGATTCACAGTTTGTCAAAGCGATTGGTGTGTTAGATCAAACACTTTAAGAAGCAGTTCAATCAGTCAGAGTTGCCAGCTTCTCCATCAATGAATGCTCGCCCTACTCCCTGGGCCGTCACCCAGGATCCACGCTCACGCGTAAAAACCGGACGTGAGCTCAAGCGGCTGAAAATAAACAAGGCCGCCGGAGCAGATGGACTACATACAGTCCAGTTCAAATTCGGAGGACATGCTCTTGTTGATGATGTACATAACTTATTAGCGAGTAACCTCTTCGGCTTTTAGCTTGGATTTATTGGTAGTAAATGTCGAACCCCACCTTTCTGAAATCAAGAGTTCTAGATCGGTTCCCAGCATTCTTCAAGATGTTGAGCATGATATTCTCCCAAAAGACTGGAGTCGCTCCGTTATCGTCCAAACTTTCAAGAAAGGTTCCTGTACGGAATGCGGCAATCACAGAGGAATCAACCTGATCAGTTAGTACTAAGTTACCTGCCTCTGTCGTCCTCCATAGACTAAGTGGCATCCGTGAAAGCTAGATTCGTGAAGAGCAAGCCGGATTTAGTCGAAATCGAAGCTGCATTAAAGACAGGTGCACGTTACGTCAATTGTTGGAGCACCGCTATGTTTATTGGCGACCCACAGTAGTCGTGTCCCTAGACATCAAGGGACTTCCGTTTTGGTTGATCGACGTGGCCTTTGGGACCGTTTAATTAGGAAAAGTGTGTCCGAGAAATATGTAAATGTCGCAGGAGCGCAGTACGCACATAGTTTAGGAACAGCGAGGGTTTACGACAAACCTTCACCACCCTTCAATATCTCCAGCGGTGCAAGACAAGGCTGCCCGCTGTCACTTTCCTCTTTAACTTGCCATTGAGGAAATAATGGAAACGGTGTCTGCCGTGCACGACTTAGAAGGTGTGGATCTGCTCCCACGTGACCGAATTCTCGACTTGGAGCATACCGACGAGATTGCGCTCATTTGTGACAGCCCACAAACGTGCCAATCTGCCATGGATAAATTAGCCTTGGTTGTCAGTCGATTCGGGCTTTGCTTCGCAGCCTCGAACTGCAAAGTCCTTCTCCAAGATTGGCAGAGACCCAGTCCTGCGCTGAACTTTGGCAGTGATCAGCTAAAAGCCGTCAAGGAATTTATCTACCTGGGCAGCTGTATTAACACCCGTGGAAATGAAGGAGAGGTCGAGAACCGTATAGCGAATGCTCGGAGTGTTTTGCCAATCCCCGAAATCTGTGGCGCCAGCGTGGCATTATTCTCGCTCTGAAGGGCAGAGTATATAATACAACCGTCCGTTCAATCAGTCTGTACGGTTGCGAAACCTGGCGATTTATGTCAGTCGACATAAAGAGGCCAGTTAGTCCGATAATCGCTGCGTTCGAAGCTCAGCTCATGTTTGGTAGGAACACCGCGTGAGTAATGAGCGTGTTTGGTGTCACGTATTTGGTGCAGGAAGAGCTAGCGAATCGTTCAGTAACGTTATTTCACGAACCAGGCTCCAATGGCTGGGGCACATGCTGTGTACGCCAGCCCCCCGACTTCCGTAACGTGCGTTGTTTGCGCATCCCGGATCTGGATGCAAGAAGAGAAGCAGAGGCCAACCGATGAGCTGCTCCAGAGGAATGAAGTCCCTCAGTTCGAACTTGGCGTCAGTTGGTGTTTCCCGACTGCCTGGCTGGGGTCCGAAAGAGGCTGAACGCATATCGATGGATACATTTGCTGACATGGCGAGGAGTTTACATCGATGAGGTATGTGTTGTGAGTTTCTTTGTTCATCTTCTCTAATGGTCACCGATTACCAGGGAGGGCCTTGTTTGTTTGGCAGATCTAGAGTGGCGAAAGGTTAGAGTTGGACAAAAATTAACTTAGTAGCAGGAAATGAAGTCACTGAGGACCAAGCTCGGTACGGTCAATCCGTCTCGCCTTCGAAGCTGGAGTCCACGTGACTCGCCTTGTGCTTGACTCGAGACGGTACAGCACATGGCTCGCAATAGGCACCAGTGGCGTGTCTGCATCGTCTCCTAGTCAGACTGCTTGTTTAAAGTGTGTTTGGTGCTGAGTTATCTGTGGAGTAATGGCTGATTATGACGCGGGGCAGTGAAAGCCGCAAGAAAGCTGTCTCGCCGAAGCCGCCTTATCTTTGCGCGAAAGCCAGCTATTTGTGATGGTATATTGTTGACAATAGGTGTAGACGCCTCGACCCTGAGTGTTTGTTTAGGGCAGTAAGGTTTTAAAATTGGTCCCCCTTCTCTCCCTGTTATTATTCTTCGTTCCGTAGGTCACTGCGGTTGTACGGCAGCGAAGCATCAGTACGAATACCTGATGCACAGCTGTTGATGATGATGTATGTAATATGATCAGCATTAAAAATCCGCGATTCAATAAATAATTCATAAGAGACGATACCACAAAGCGGAACAACTGATTGGAAAAAAACAACCACGGCAAAAGGAAGTATAAATATAAACGGCAGGCAGTAAATCTGAATCGGGTAACAAGAAGGACTGGACATCATCGCAGAGAGTAGTAGAAGTAACGGAAGTAGTAGAGTAAGACGGAAGAATGACTTTGCACCAATGTTCAGTAGCTTACCGGCTAGCACAGAGCAGGCCCCGATTCCAGTAGTGCGCCGGATATTGCTGTTGCAAAGTAGCCGGACCATCGGAGCGTTTCGTGACAAGTTCTGTCCAACGATAGTGAATAAATTCCTCCGGAAGCAGAACTGAAGCGAATTCTGTCATCCAGCACGTGATACCACGAGTAACAGCGCTGCAAGGAGTAAAACGGTCCGCATTTTTGGATGATAATGATGAGGTATTTGGTATGCAAGCAGAACACTGACGCCGCTCTGCAGCTTCTGATTGCGCTGCGGTTGGATGTTCCCGTTGGCTATCCACTAATGGCCGAAATTCAAAGTTATCCGAACAAAGAACCAATGTATTCGGCTCACACGGGATAGAGGGCGTGCAATAAGCACGGGAATCCTAAAACGACAACAAAGGCTTCGCATTAAAGGTAAGCGTATATGAAATGGTAAAGAGAAGGTAAGCAGAAGCAATTCAGTCTTGCGAAGAGCAAACAATTTGAGGAATTACAACTAGCTGTGTAGTGCAATTTGTGACAGTGAAGATCCAGAAAGAATACCGCTAGTAAATTCATCCAAAGACTGTGTATATGAAACGGTAATGCAGCGATATGTTTTCACAAGGCGGTGGCTGGACCGTAGACCAGTCCACACTGAGTGCATAGGACCACACTGAGCCTAACACGGCCACAAGGACCGTGCACCTAGTCCACTCCAGATGTCTCCTGGAGACAATATGGACGAGGTAGTGGGTAATAGATAGGTAGGCACCTTGTCAACATGCACATCAAGCACATCCACAGTGTGGATGTCAAACAACAGCCAATCACTTGAAATGAGATTATCAAATAAAATATGTCTGTTAAAGCATATGGATATGCCGACATAACTCATCGCTAAATTAGCATATGAAGTAAGTTGGTTAGCAACGATTCCGCGATAAGTTCAAGATGTCCACAAGTTATTCAAAAAAATGTCACAAACGCAATAAAGTTAACGAAGATAACGACAATTAGCGCAAGCAACGTGTGTAAGTTAATAGAAGAGTATTCAGATAAGCAGTAGAAACCGAATAAAGTAGAATGAAATTTATCAAGCTTAAAAAGACGTAGTTTTAGTGTAAGTGTAAGTTGGTTTAGCCCAACTGATTGCAACCATGGTTAGCGGCATCCGGGGTTCGGATTTGCCTGTCACTGTGACCAGCCACAGGCAACATACATGCCTCGTCAGGAGCAGATTGATGATGCATGGACAACCTGGCATGAAAGCGTGCAATGCGTGTGAAAGGAGATCGTTTGACCGGAACAACTGCAGCAAAGGCTTCTTCACAATCTGCTCTGCAACCTTGGCCACAATAGGTGACAAACAAATTGGACTGTAGTTGTCTACCTTGCTTGTGTCACTACCTTTCGGAATCGGCCACAACACCGGGCATTTCCAATCAATCGCCAATGTACCTTCGGACATAGACCTGTTGAACAGATCAATGATAGCAGGCGAGACTATGGCCGATAAGCACTTGATAATCAGGGGGCGGAGCCCGTCAGGTCCAACAAGCTTGGTGCCGTCAAGAATGTCGAGTAGCTGACGCACCTCGGTAAAGACACCTGGTCATTTGCTAATACAGAAGCAAAGTGCGGACGCACGCTCAGTGCTGAAGGTTAGGGGCTGTCCGTTCGCGTCCCCCAGATTTTCAAATCATCCGCAAACAGGGCACATGGTGACTGGAGCTGCTGCGGAAGATCGTTGTTATGAATAAGAAATAATACTGGTCCAAGTGCAGTTCCTTGAGGCACGCCACTGGTCGATGGGAACCAGTCTGTCAGGTAGTCATTGACCTGCACTCTAAACTTTCGTCTCACGATAAACTCGTGTAACCACTGAAGTAGCGTGCCACTGATTCCGTAGGTCCTCGGTTTACGAAGGAGTACCTCGTGCTTCACTCTGTCAAACGCCCTACTAAAGTCGATGTACACCAAGTCAACATCCTTCCATTCGTTGAGATCTCGTACCCACTGGTGGTTTGCGTACATCAAGTTGGTGATGCAGGATCGCCCTTCCATAAAGCCGTGTCGCGCTGGTGTCAATACGTCCATCGATTCGAAGAACGACAGCAGACACTGTTTCACAAGCTTCCATAGAACTTTGAATAATATCGAAGTTAAACAGATCGGTCTATAGTTCTCTACTTTACTCGGATCACCACTTGGGAAGCGGTCTCACAATCGAGCACTACCAGTCGTTAAGGACGGATCCTTCCGAGACTGATTTATTGAATAGCTTTGTCACGGCTAGTGGGATGATAATCGATAGGGACTTGAGTATTAGCGGGTGAAGTCCGTCTGGTCCAGGGGGCTTTGAACCATCGAGATTGACGAGTAGCTGATACACTTCGACTGCATCATATTGTAGGCTGTCGAACAAGACTGGCGCAACCTGTGCTGGTACTGCAACAACCGCCGAGTTACTGAAAAATACGGTGAGGAAGTGCGTAGCCAAGGAGTCGGTGCGCTCTGCGCTCAAATTGTGCGTCTGTCTGTCCAAGCTCTCTAAGACCGGCAGGTCGCCGCCAGGTTTCAGTTGACGTTTCAGGTAGGCAATCATTCTTTCGGGTGCAGTTGTGGCTGAGGACGTTAGCTCCTTTTCGAACCGTCGACGTTGCTTTTTCTACAACTTATAGTCGTCGTCAGAGCCAGAGATAAGGGATTCGTCCCATAGCCTGCGCTGCTGCCGAACCAGCTTACCATACTCTTTGACGAACCAAAGTGGTTTGACCGGTCCGATTCGCCGACACTTGGGAGGCACAAATTGGTTGCAAAATGAATTTGTCATTCTTTATAACTGAGTAACAAGTTTCAGCAGATGCAGATTGCAGCAGAAAGCAATTTACTTGGCTCCCGGCTCAAGTCAGGCCGTCCATATCTGTCTTCCAGTAGTCTTAATCTGGCTGCAGTGGAAGCTCTATGCTAGCAATAAGAACTGAGTAGTCGATTGCTGGCAGAGGATCCAAGATCCGAATGTCATAGATAGGTTGTCTACAGCTGGTTAACATCATATCAGTGAACTTTGTTTTAGTCTTATGTTAACAAGTCACTCCGTAGGTCGTCAACGTGTTGTACGGCAGCGAAGCGTCAATTCAAATGACTGATGATGATTGCGATGGTATAACTTGTGTTCGCTAGGAGGCAAACGTGTATTCCAATCTGCTAACCAGTTGGGACTATATACTTGTAATCCCGTGAATATCTTGGTGAGTACGCTAGTACACAATCAAATTTGTTTACACATTTCCGCGGATGCTGCTACTTTCATTTGAACGATCTTAGGGGACTTGTTAAGTTGCCGTTTCTTGATGTGCTGTTAACTAGAAAGGCAGACGGCTCGATCCAACTGCAGGTCTACAGGAAGAAAACCTGGAGTGGCCAGTATACGAACTTTCACAGTTTCGTTCCGTTGAGATATAAGCGAAACCTAATTCGCTGACTAACCACAAGGGCCCGCAGGATCTGTTCTGAAGACAAGTTGGATAATGAGTTGACGTTCATTCAGAATTTGCTGCGCGAAAACGGATATCCTGCTCGTTTCATTTTTAGGAACATGCAAAGTAAGCCCGACCTGTTGCAAGTTCAGAGAGCAGAGAAAAAAGAACTTTTCATACGACTACCCTTCAAGGGAGACGCCGCTGCTGAGCGTGTAACTAGAAGCCTTTCAACAGCTGTCACATCAACTTTCCCAGCAGCCAAGCTTAGGTGTACCTTTTCCACGGAGCCACTCATCCGTATTTACAACAAAGACAAGTTACCGACGCTGACCGCTTCTATGGTAATTTATCAGTTCGAGTGCGCCTGTGGCGCTACTTACATCGGTCGAACGGCGCGGCAACTGTCAAAGCGCATTAAGGAGCACCTACCACGCTGGTTGCGTCGTAGCGGTACTGGGGCTATAACTAGCTCAGTTATGGCTCATCTTGTTGATAGTGGGCATGAGGTTGACCCAGTCAGTGCCTTTCGAATACTGTACAGGGTCCCTCCAATCCAGTCGAAAGGCCTGCGCCTCCGCACCCTTGCTACTGCTGAGGCGATCAGCATTCGGTTGTAGCAACCGCTTTTGTGTGCACAAAAGAAGCTGATCGAAGCTGTTAAGCTACCTTGGCCAGCCAAAACGGATCTTTCTGAGAGCAGCTGCAATTGTGCAACTGCACCTCTGTCCTAGTTTGCTGTTTGTTACTGGTTCATACCTTTGGTTGGCACGTGATCAATCTCATTTGAACTGATCGTTAATCCAATTTTACGCCCATTGCCATTTCACTCATATGATTGTACGGGTGTGAAGATGAAGCATCGAAAACAAGTGTTTACGTTCGGTCTTTTGTTCTTGATAATGCAATGGGAATTTTCCAGTTGCTGATGTGTTAAGTGTTAACTTTTTGTTTGCTCTCTATATCCCATGGTTCTACTGGTACAGAGAGTAAAATGACCATTTGCTGAGAACACCCCGTGTGTGCGAAGACATCCGGTGGTGATTCAGCGCTCGTCGATGAACGGGATAGTTAGGCACAGGTACTGCTGCATCACGGTTGTCGCCTGAACTTTCTCTTCCTGATAAGTACGCGAAATGGAATGAGCGCAAGTCGATTGCGGCCTACAACCGGATATGGGTTTTGGTTCTATTGATCATATGGTAATGTGGACGCGAGGCACAAGTTGAGAGGTAGATGGTAAATGAGGGGGATGTTTGTACAGGCAGATACCAGTAATCAGAAAGAAGAGTCTCCTAGTGGACGCAAATAACATATGGCGTGTACTAAGGGGCCGTAGCGTGTAATCAGAAGAGCCAAATGAAATGAAGGAAAAAGAACACACATAGGTGAAGCGGGCGAATAATCAGAAGTAAGCCGGATAGATTCCAAGTTAATGTACTAAGGGATCACTTGTGTACGGGGATCCGTTGGTTAACAATGTCCGGCGAGGCAACAAACTGTTTTCTGGTTATGTTTACGTGAAAGAAAAACGTAGTTGTGCACAGAACCGGCGTAACAATACATATGAGAGAAAAGCGAGTGCCACCTCTGAAACCTGTTTCGCTAATCTATGTATACCGAGGTGAAATGTTGGAACACTTATCGGTTTGAGAAGCGCATGTTGTTGGTCTAACACGAGATAGGTTCCGTGGGGAACAACGTGTAATGAACCATGGAGTTGACGAAGCTACGACACAGCAATGAGACAAAGAGAGACCAGGGAAAACAAGTGGGACCCACCTTGGCAAAGATGACAAAGATCCGAAGTAGCTTAACTAACAAACGAGGATGAATAACATAGGAGCCATGAAATGATACCGATGAATTTTCCTCAAGTTGACCACACGGAACCCCTGCGTGGTGACATTCAGGTAGAGAATTCGTGCTCCATTGGTCCAGGATTTCAAAACACTTTATAAGCTCGAGAGGAATAACTACGTCTAGTGGTTGCAAAATGGCATCAAGAAGAACGACAGGGCAACCACAAACAGCTGTGGAATAAGCACTACACAGCGGATCACAGTGCTGAGAGTGAGTGGAAGCAGAGCACTCGTGGGTTTGAGGTCCAGAGCTTATTGAAAGCCGTGCGGCAAACATGACATCGGAAGGAGCAGTGACCTCGAGCGGAGAGATTTTGGGACATTTCTGTGAAGTGCAGGTGAAACAGGGGGTTTCGGATGGAAATCTGGGAACCCATTGAAATTCTGCAGAATCTATCGTGTTGGGACCAGCAAATGGTGATCCCTCTATGGATAACATAGGGTTCGTGAAGGAGCCGTTTGGCAGTGGGTTGTGTCGGTCTCCATCATCGAAGCAGCGCAACCAAGATCCAGATGGTGTTAAAAGCGGGACCACAGTTCTGTAAATAGTGGGAAATTGACAGGTTAGCGAAAAGACAGAGTAAGACAGGTAACAAGAGTTGAGCCGAAACCGGTGAATGTGAGCATGTTGCAGAAATCTTTCTTGTTACTATCGAGGATCGGGAGTCCCTATCAGTCACAAAAAAAGTTCCGAAAATATTAGGAAGCAATGCGATCTACTGCGGGGTCGAGTGGATGTAGAATGGTGAGTATCACATCAAGGGTGACAGAAACAAGCAAACACTAGGTAGAGAGATAAGGATAGATCGTGCTAATTATAGAAAAACTAAGTTGGAATGAAAATGATTGAATACAGAAAGGAGATGAGTGAGCGTCTAAGGCAGCAGCACGCACTGAGGCAGCTGCATCGGTGACAAAGTAAGTACGAAACCAATTTAGAAAAATACAACAGAAAGAGAATAGAGGGCGATGGGTACGGAACCACGTTACAAATTTCGTTTTATCCAAGCAAAGACCGGGGTTGTTGTCAAGTTTGTAACTTGATACATACGGGGATGAAATCTAGTAGAACAAGGAAAGCATGATTGGAAACTGATAAACGGAAAAGCAGCATCGGGAGTACAGAACAGCCTCATACTGGTGCCAAAATAGCGAGAAATGGTTTGTGAAGGCAAGTGGGTTAGGTCACTTTCAAAGTGCCCAAATTCAGGTCGGAGAACTAGTACAGTCGATAATAAAGGTCCCCAGCACAAAAAGGGATGAAAACAGCCAGAACTCGATTGCACCTTGTAAGATGTAGCGTTTTAACAGAAATTAGTACACTCCCACATTCGAACATCAAACTGGAGGAAGAGGGAACTGGATCTCAGAGATTTCTAACAAGTCTAATCTTCCAGAACAGTCACCGTTCAGCAAGGCATAAGAGAAGAAGAAGAGGGAGAAACGCAAACTGACTCATCAAGTTTAGGTCCAGTCTAATCCAGTCGGAACGGCTGGAGCAATGCTATTGATAGGTTGGAGGTCGTCAACTGCTTGGGAAGTGAATCCACCACGATGTAAAACGAAGATTCACACATCTTAGCATTAACTAGTAAGGAAAACACATACACTCACCCTGATTGATGAAGGTACACAGATAACGCCCCAACAGACAAATCGAGAGAGAATCGTCGCTGTTGCAGCTCAATGGACGCAGCCACATCAGTTACAAACCACCGGACAATCGAATCGACAGAGTCCAGAGAGCGTGTGCGGAAACAGCCGGAGGCGTGTGAAAGTGAACCAATCACAACGAATCGCAAGGGCGGGGTGTTCGATGTCAAGGACCAAACAGGAGTAGCTAACACAACTTTACTGAAGCACTCAGCATTGACGGTAGAGTTTGGCGTAGCGATGTCGATCGGCTTTTGCACAATATTTGAAACCGACGAGGGTAAGATAGGATCTGTGTGTTTGGAAATTCGTGCATTCATCGTAGTAGAAAAGTCCACGTTGTTAAGATCCCGAAGAGCACGGATGAGCCGAGTCCACTGAAACAAAAGATGCAGTATAAAAGGTCACCGCTGCGGATAATGAAACTGGACCACATACATGATGGACTAAATTCATTTAGGATAGGTAATTGGAGGCAAGAAAAACAAGTTGAAGAGAAGCCAGTTTAAGATAATGAAACAGTTGATTGCAATACACTCGCGTTGTACTCCAATCACAAGATAGCTACGATTAAATCAAAAGGAGAACAAACACACCTACGAGAGTTGTCATACGCTTCGACTGATCACGAAAGCAAAGGACCGGTACAGCTTGAACTGAAGTGACTTGAAAATCTGGGTGTACACGGTGGTGAGAAAACAAAAAGGATTATTTGAGAGATTTTGCAAAATACTTTTGAGGGAGGTGTGTACATCGATATGATGTACCAGTCAAATGAACAGAGAGTATCGAAATGGGCCAGTGATTGCATATTACGCATCGTAGATAGGACCAAGGTAAATCGCAGATTTATGAGCCAATCACATTGTATGAATCCATCTCACACAGCGAACGGTCTTAGAGAACAAATATTGACAACTGAGTAGAAGGAAATTCAAGGATTTTTCCGACACCATAATAAAATCTGCTCAAAGACAGTCAGCAAAAACCACGAATAAGCATAACAGATATAACGTTTAAAGTGTTGTTAACAGAGGTCATGTCAGTGATCAATACTGACAAATAGTTATTTCATTGCAGCAAGAAATTCCCTCGAATATGAAATGCTAGTCTACCGAAATCGCGTCCGAGCAACTGTAGGGGATAGGCGAGCTTCTGAGTCCATTTCCAGTTCCGTGGGAAACGCACTCCAGCTTCTTTGCATGAAAACTTAATGATCGTCACAAAAGTGGGTGATTAACTGGCGCACAGGGAAACCGAAGCAACGCATCCAGTTTCAAAGGAAATGCTGACGGGGACAGATGTTAAATATAGGCAGGACAGAAAAGTGTCAATGACAGCAGCATAAGTACCACAGTGTCTAGACTACATTGGAGATCAAGACCACATTGACAGCCAGAGCAGAACAGAGAGATTCAGCGTGGAAAACCGAGACCCGGATCATCTAGACATTGGAGAGCAGACGGAAAACTGTGAAATTGACAAAAAGTAAGAAAATCAAGGCTGAAATTTCGGGAAGATTAAACGGACGAATCAGTGTGCCGGTCGAGGATGGAATTAAGCAACCACAAGTGAAACATTGTTGGAACGCCGGTAATCAAGTGTCACAAAGTGGCATGTTCAAAACGAAACCATCTCAATAACACGGGGAATGTGATTAACCCAGATAAAAACAGGTCAAACAACATGAATTGAGTGGCGATTGGTCCGCGAAGTTGTGGCGAACGATCAACTTCAAAAGCGGAATCAACAACCGCAGAAAATAAGCCATTTGAACTGAACTTTGGCCGAGGAAAAAATAAGTAACGCATAAAAATAATTAGAAGGGAAGGAGAACCTCGGACAAAAACTTAACGCTGTAAATAAACATTCAGAGTTAGAGGGTCTACACCTTGTCAACAAAATAACGTCCCAAACAGCTGGCAATAGTGCAAAGATAAGGCGACATCAGTGAGACAGCTTCCTTGCGGCCTTTACTGCCTCGCCACATAGTTGGAGACATCCGGTTTCGGATTTGCCTATCACTGTGGCCAGCCACAGAACACCTGCGCCTACAGAGGGACCATGGATGGCTTGCGCTGCACCACCCACACACCCCATATCCAGTGTAAACCCGAAGGAATAAGACCGGGAGGCATGCGGATGGGAGCCACATTACATCAACGGAGCCGGCCCACACTCCTTCACAGGCAAACACAAGCACGCTGTATTTGGGAATCAAGCGCACACACAAGGCGGTGGCTGGACCGTAGTCCGCTACACACTGAGTGCATGGAACCACTCTTCGAGCCAAGCACGACCACAAGAACCGTGATCCCCGTCCCCTCCAGCAACAACCAACTGTCTCCTGGAGCCAGTATGAACGATGTAGTGGGTAATAGACAGGTAGGCACCTTGTCAACATACATATCAAGCGTAACCATACCAGGGATATCAAACAACAGCCAATCATTCGAAACGCCGATATCGATTAAAGTAAACACATATGATGACATAAATACTCGCTAAATGAGCATATAGAAGAAATTGGTTATAAGTGAAACCGTGATAAGTACAAAATGTCCGAAAGTTAGTTAATAAATACCACGCAATAAAATTACGCAACTTTACCACAATTTGCATAAGCGCAGTGTGTAAGTTGGGAGAAGATTAGCAAGTACGTAGAACAAACCAAATAAAATGTAATGAATTTTATCCATACTAAAAAGACCTAGTTAAAGTGTTAGTTGGTTTAGCCCAACTGCGGTGAAGACGCATCATGAATGCAACATCAGCCTCAGCATGGCGAACACATACATACATACATACATGGTTGGCGGCTTCGGGTTTCGGATTTGCCCCTAATCAGCCATTAACCTGCAGATAACTAAACACCAGACACACTTTCAACAGGCAGTCCGACTGCGAGGTGAAAGCAAAAGCACCACTGGTATCGATTGCTGGCCATATGCTGTAACGTCTCAAGCCAATCACAGGTCAAATCAAATCAAAATAGGCTTTAGGTCCAAATAGGCGCGTTCTCAGCATTTACACTATCAATGTGGATACAATGGATGATGGGACCGGTAAAAGTATATAAACACAAATTAAAGAATTAATTAGTCGAAGGTGTACGGATGTTATACCGGGGGATATTTGGGCAAATATTTGTGGCTTTCTTTGGGTTGACAACGTTTGGCAACTAAGGTAAGATGGTGAGGGAATAAAAGCTCGTTTTGAGTGCATGTAAGATAACATTTGTAAGAGAGCATTATGTAACTGACGAAACTGATAACCTAGGACATTACAAAATGTTCATGCAAGCGTCAAAATGCTAATGAATAATAAAACCAACCAGGGAATCTGTAGACAAGCCATAAGGTCTGGAAAAAATGTATGATTGATCACACAATCAAAACAAAGTCCTTCAGTAGTAACACAGCGAAGATTGCTGTGGAACAGTAAAATCAGTGGGACAGTATACATGCAGTAACAGCTCTCAAAACTAAACATCGTGACACAGAGAGCTTCTTAAGTCGGAAAGCAGAAAAAATAAACTTCTTACCTTGTGAAATGTTTCAAAAACGTGCGTGGACCAAGAAAGGTTTTAAGACAGACAACGAGATATTTGACACTGGATGAAATAGGCATGGTTTTGTTCTCCAGTTAATAGAGGAGACAACTCGCAACTTATCCAGGCGGAGAACTGAAAATATTCCATCAGTATACCTCAAAGCAATAAGGTTAAGGAAGCTGGATGATGGCCAACTGAAAAGTTAGTCTAAACAACATTGAAGTGTAGACATCTCAATGGAGGGAGTTCTGCACCCCAAGACAACATCGTCAGCATATTCACATCCAATGAATGTTGATGGTAAGGGGAGACTTTCGACAATCAAAGAGAATAAAAGGGGTGAAAGGATCGCGCCCTGCAAAACCAGTCAGAGCAGAGTATAGAGAAGCACTTGCCGTCTAGGTGAGTAAAATGCATACGATCAGTGAAACAGTCTCGCAACAAGTTGCAGACATCGAGTCGACGCTGTTCAAATAAACATAGACATAAACACAGACCGGTCAAAACTCCCGAATGCATTCCAATAAGACAGAATAACAAGCCGTAAGGATCTACACATTTCATCCAACGCAAGCGCTACTGAATACACAAAGAACGAGACATCATCTAACGTAGTGCGCTGAGCTAAACATTCAAACTAGCAGACATCATCAGCATGAGTAGCTGTGGAAAATCTCGGGACCAGTCGCTTTTCGAGGAATTTAAAAACACGGAAGCACAAGCGTTATCCTGGCGGACCTTCGTATGACGTGGATGAGACGGGTCGTGAGATACTTGTCAGGGGTAATGTGCAGGAATCGACGCAATGCTTCAAAACCACAAATAATAAGTCATCAGGATCACTAGCTTTATTTGACTTCAGTATTCCAAGTTCCCTGTTCACGCCACCCTTATCAAATAGCGCGGCCGGGCCTGAGCTTGTGAAGAAGCGAAATGGAAAAGTGCCCGATGGAGAGGAACTGAACTCATAATTGAGTTTGTCAACATCCACGATTACAGTACTTACAATGGTACTTTTACCACAGATTTGCTCCAACGGCCTCCAGAGATCGCGTCAGTTACGGTTTCCCAGTACCGTTTCAATGTACAAACTGTTTGGTCTTGTTATTTTAGTTATAATTGTCAAAGTTAGGCTTTTGACGCGAGTGGTCATTTAATAAACTTGTAACTACTTTTTTTCTTCAAAGGGGTGAAGAAAGTCAATCTGCTCCCAGACAGACCATCTCGATAGAGCAGCATAGGTTGAATCGAAAGTTTATGCAACTAGTGAGGTGATCATATTGGTGCGATAGATATACATTTGTAGAACCTGAAGAATCAGTTGGAGAAAGCGTCGCTTGAAATCGAGAAATACTTTTCGCCGAGCAATTACCACATAGGATAGCCTTTAGAGGTCGTTTCGTCGATGCGGCATAGATTTACTGTAGATGGTTGGGCAAATCTTTAGTATACAGTGATCTGAGTTGCATAGTGGCGCACGCTTTTGAATGGAAAACAAGCGAATTTTGTTTGTATAAGCTACAACAAGCTGTGCATCATGTCTGCCCGGGGAATTTACTAAATTTGCCAGATCAGGTGACCTGAAGAAGGTTGTATCAGATTTATTAGAATCATCAGTAACAATGCAGGCAGTGCATTCAAGTTTTGGCACCAATGTCGAAGAAAGTTGCTCAACTAAAAGCTTCAGCTCGGACGATGATGGATCAGGAGCAATGTAGAAGTTTCCGAGAACAACGGATTGAAAGCCACTGATATCTTTAGGCTTGTGCGCACTCATATCCCCTGTAGCAACAATAACGATACCTGAAATGATAACAGTGTAAA